TAGATGGGTTTGCGGTCTAAAGATGGTTTCCACAAAAATATCACTTACAAACGATAGTTAATGTTTGACTTCATATAAATATACATTTTACCAACCTTTCTTAAATCTTCTTTGTTAAAAGTACATACGTTACTTATATCATAATATTATAATGTAATTCGATAACTTAACACTGTTTTATAATATTAATATCTCTCAGTTATTAATAGGAAAATAATTATTTATTTATAAATATATTTAGGCAAAAAACAACATTTTTAGCATATATTATTATCCAGAAAAGTATTTAAGAGTAAGAAAATAACGAATGATACCAAATATTACACTATACATTTGTAAATATTAACAATAAAATAACTAAAACATGTTTAAAGGTTAAAAATTTTGAACTGTTGAAATTAAAGCATCTTAATTTATTGTACGATTTTTTAAACATTATAATCGGTATTTCTTGAATTAATTTAGGTTCATAGTTTTGATACTTATAACTTTATGACATTAGGTAATAATTTATCACAATTCAATGATAGAGCTTATAAAATGTATTTTATTACGCATTATTTTAATAAACATATTATATTAAATGTATGACGATGAAATGTGATTCTAAATGAACGTTATAATAAATTTTTACGTGACAGATATAATTTGTAATCGTTTTGTTTTGTAATTTGAATCCTTATAAAGCAAAGCACACAACATTACGTAATAAATTCATAACTATTTGATTATGAAGAACTAAGCAATGCAAACCTTAATCGATTTTTTTTAATCAATAGTCGTGAGAAATAATTGTGAAGAAATATATTCAATATTCAAAATTGTGATATAGCCATACAGATGTACAGTGGATTCGCTAGGCATATTGTTATCATACCCCCTTATTTTTTAATACCTAATGCAGTTATTAAAAATTCTGATATTCTTTCTGAGTTTTTCAAATGAGAATTTTTCGTTACTAATATAAAATATTTAGTGGATAATTTTTCTGATCATTTTAGCATATCAGAACCAAAGTTATAATGGCTAGTTTTTTAGTTATTTTACTTTATGTACAACGGATAATAGATTCATAATAATGTGCTAAGAAGACTGTGGTATATGACGATTTGAAAATCTTAGCAATTAATATTAATGTATTAACATTATCAATTTGTAGAACTAGTCTAAGAGTAGTAAATAATAGTCCAATATAACATTTTTTTTTTTTTGTAAAACCATTTCTAAACACTTTTGTCCTTAGTATAAACATTTTAATAGATAAGTAACTATTTTTAAAAATGTTGAGCAAGATAGCTACATACAACAATATTTAAAATAATATTATTCACTAAATAATTTATAGTACCCTAGGTACCAAAGACCAAAGACTGTATCATCAATCAATCAGTAACGAATTCCAATAATTCAAAAAAAATTGTCTTTGAGTGAGTTTAAAATATCAAAAATAATAACTTGAATATATTTATTATTAAAACAAAAATAGGGGATAGCGTACCCAGTACTATACTCTGTATATTAAATTATATGACTAAAAAATGCTATTATTTTATAAAGTTGTGTATAAGAATAAAACAACATGGAAGAAGCCGATCACATTATCTGCAAAAACAAGTTTAACTGTTTTACTGTAATCCTGAAAAGATTGTGTCAAATGTCCAAAAAAAAATCCTTAGGTACGTTAACTTCTTAACTTTATATATATTATATACATAATAATCTAGAAATTGTGCTAACAGAACATAAATACATTGCATACTTTAAAATTACGTATAGTTGTGTAACGATAAAATATTTATCTATACACACATTATATCTAAAATCTAAGTATTTCACTAGCGTGCATAATATTACGATGAGATATAGTTAGGTTATAAAAAGTTCTATGATAACAATTATTAAACTTGGCACATTGTATCAGAGGAATATTATTAGGTCGCGTGCATGCCCGTGATTCGACAAATTTAAGATTTTTCAAATCCGGAATTCGAGCACGAAATATAGGTAYTAGGTAATGATTATTAATTCTCACCTGTATCCTAACCTGACCCGGTCGATCTGAGAGAAGATTATAGTATAATATTGTTTTAATATTGCATTGTCTAATGATACGCATTTATGATATTTTACATTTTAAGCCTATTGTTCCACTAAGTTCTCTCGCATTGAGACTGAAATATATTATATATATTTTTTTTTTTTGATTCTTCTGTTGCGTCATCAAGAGTCAGAGACGTCTTCGTCACGGGACTATCGAATTTCGAAAACATCGCTTGGTATTATTACGCCGTTGCTATTTCATGACTGAAATAAATTGTGATAATTTCGATTTTATGTAATTTATCATACAAAAGAGACAACGTTATCGTGTTATAACTCATTTTTATATCCCATAGTCTTACCGTGAAATCAGTTCCGAATCTTCTAAACAAAGAATCTAAATTCTAAACGTTTGTAGACCGACAGTCGCCAACTTCTCACTGATGACTCTTATATTATGTATTTTATATAACGAACATGTTAGGTATAATATGTATATTAATGTATATTATTATTAGGGCCCGGGTTTCAATGCGAAGTTGAATTAATTTTGTGTGTTCAATGCATTCCAATTCAGCTACTTCAAAGGTGAAGTTTTTTTAGTGTATTTATTAAAGTCTATGGGTTATTTTATTAATTTTTAGGGTATAATATTATTAAAATAATAGATTGGACGAGCTTTCATTATTAATTAGAAATTAAAAATATTATTTTCATAATATTTGCTTTGATAATTTTTAGGCATTTTTATGAGAACAAAATGTTAATTCTTTTTTTTTAAATAATAATATTTCTATCTTTCAATAATTATAGGGTGTGTGGTGTTTTAATTCCTAACGAGACTTAAATAAATAATAACTTATATTATAGAAGTTACATTGCTATTTCATTTATTTCATTTATTTCATACTGTTTATTTATTGTACGTGGGCTTAAAGTTCCATATTTTGATTTTACATTACCTATTGTTAGTTTGGATCAGATAAAGAAGCGCTAACATTGCTGAAAGTAAACTGTCGTTTTCTTTTCATTTGCGCGATATTAAACAATTTGAAAAAAATTTGACAATAATTTTTTTTCATTAATATTATTACATTGGAAAGAAACTTATTATGTCTTTTCAGTAAATTATAGAGAATTTCCTGATAGTTTTAAAGGCATTTAAAATTTAAATCCGGGATCTGCTTATTATAAATTAAGGGGATGCTGACATTAAATATAACACCGTTGGCCTCTGTGTTGTTATCGGAATAATTTTGGTTTATTATCATAGTTTTTTTTGACTTGCGACTGTGCGCGCTGCAACAATTGTGATGACGTGTTTTTTTAGTTTACGGCACATAAAAAATATATTTAGGTATCTAGATATATACATTTTTGACGAGATTGCGATTTTTCACAAAGCGTTCATTTTGAGAGTGATAATGCGTATAAATAACGCTTGACGCCTATAGTAGGATAAATCTATAAGTAGAATAATCAGTAAAAAAAAATATATATATTATGCCAGTATGGGTACATTTTATGTGTAATGAATTTGTTTGTATTCGTAAAATCGTAGCGCTGATACGCACAATTTGAAATAAGCCACCAACGTCGAGCGATAAAAAACATGTCTGATTTGATTGGGTCGTATCTGCGTGTTACTGTGTTATGCGTAATATAAAGTTATATAATACGAAAAATTGATGTACGATTTTCGTTATTCACWCGAAATTTAAAATCTAAAAATATTCTAAACTCAATGCCACAAGATCGATTATTGTTATCTTATTGTTGGTTAATACTCTAATAGATAGTTTTTTTCTCATCGATCACTTAAAATGTGAAAAATATTGTTTGGTTACTCATAAAAGAAACGGAACACGTCTTGTTCAGTGGTGTGATTAAGGGGTGGATGAGGGGGATAGATTCACCTCCCCAAAAAACTTTTATTTTATTGATAACATTTTATATTTGGTAGGGTAGATTACTATAACTATGGGTTTTGCAGATTTTGATATTCCTCCCCCCCCTCCGCCAAACAAAATTYTTAATAATGCCACTGGTTTTGATTGAATTGTGTAAAGATTATCCATTTATTTTGTAGTATATTATGATCAATTATGAATTATGAATTATGATACATAGCATTCGGAAATATAGAACATTTGCATGAACGTTACCTATGTCTAATGACGTATAATTTGTTTGGTAAACTTGCTACGAGTTACAATTGTACTCCCCGAATTGCAAAAGAAAATTGACTCAATGTTGATCTATTCTTGGTATGTTCGAGATAATAATTATGCAGTTTTGTTTCCAAATTGCTTCCAACTATATTGTTTATTCAATAGCTGCTCTGGTTATCGTTTTATTTACACGTAGTTATCATGTATGTTTAATGTTTATACGTCATTACGCAGTTGATGAATGCTAATTTTTGTTTTTAGTTTTTATAACCTTCATTTAACATGGCCTGCGGCCAGAGTGTTTATCCATAATATTTGAGTTCACGAACAATTGTTCTTTTATTTAAATATGTTTAAAAAACAAAATATTTAGAATGGTGTAATATTGACATTAAACATTGCCAAACATTAACGCAGTAATAATATATAACATAAATAGGTAATATATGATAAGCGGAAATACTAGAAGTATATAAATTAATTTTTAATTTTTTTTTTTTTTTTATTGGAATAAAAGGCTTCAACATCCCAGGTCATTAGCCTAAATTTCTGATTTATATTCACAGATTCATAGAGTATACGTAAACTATATAATATTAAATGTTTTTTGTTCGTTCAAGATTCTGATTAGATTTGTAGCAACTTTGGATCACTGTCCTTAACGTTTAATCGCGATGAACACGATCTTATTTTAATATATTATTAGATTATAATATGACAGATCAATTACGTAGAAATACAATGATGTCGTATGCTTAAAAATGCTGAATTTGTGATTTTCATTTTCAGATTTTTGATTTAGAATACTGATAAGTCAAAATTAATAGCGACAACATGGGAAAATTATCTTTGGTCGTAGTTACGATTTTGGTAGCTACTGTGGCCGCATATCCAAGCAAACCATCTTTCATCGGGTGTCAAAGCTCAGAAGACTGTGGCATGGACGAATGTTGCGTATTAGGTATGTATATATATTATATACTTCATACTAACGATGGATTAATACAATTTTAACAACAATACTAATTTTAATTAATAGTACAAGTATTACAGTAAACCCCAACAGCGTAGAATAATTGTGGGTATAACAGTTACTGCTGAATTTATCAACCTGAACACTTTATTTATTGTTTAAAGTAGAATTTTATTTAAAAATTAGCTAAAAGTTACAACTAACTTATCTGCAAAGCATACATTTATTTTAGAATTCTGTAATTTTCTACGCTGAATTATGCTTAAATAATAGATCTTTCAATCATACTTCGATGTCAACAAAAGATTTGTTTTTCTTGTTTGTGATAGTCTTCAAATAAATATATTAGAATATTATTTTGGTGACTTGTAAGAAACTATTTGTAAGGCGACATCGGGTTAGATGTATTAGAAATTAGAATAATATTACCGCTACAATATTGTTGCATAGTAAATATATAATATTGTAGGATAAACACAAGTAGTACAATATTGAATGTAGTAAGTCCCTTATTTATTTTAATTTGTAGGTTGTTTGAAAATTATTTGGTAACCAAACGTCGGTTGAAGAAAAATATATTTTGGTTGTTGATATAATTTAAACGAAAAAGCGCTAGACTTCGGAATACAGGATTTTTACAACAATATTAATTTCGTATATACACACAGTTTCCCGGATTATTTTTTAGAGCATTGCTACTATATTGTAGATTATATACCGACTGAATTACATGAAGTTTGAATTCCCATATTGACTTGACGGCTTTAATATAAATTGGGCGTGGGATATAGGATATTAAAATTTGCATTTATACACGGTTATAGATTTCATGGATTTCATGGATTTCATATTATTACCATAGTTTGACGAGTTGAATCATTGACGGTGATATTACATTATATTATGTTATTATTATACACAATAATTTGCCCGTGGCAGTATAATAGTATAGTATGCGATTAAAACAATTACATTTTTGCACCCATCAAAATAATTTCCATAATATACACTTGTGTATATTTAATGTAATTATATACGGTGTGTAATTAGAAGATGTGAGGTGTATTTAAAACAATTTCAGTGTACAATAAATTTTAATTTCCTCCAGATATATCATGTTATTTGATAATAGGTATCAGTACATTTATAGGTATTTATACGGTTTTATTACCTAGGTCCCTACCTACTTAATAATATTAATCATGTTTATTAGCCTAGAACTTAATTGATATAATACAGCTTATAAACGACGACTTTTTTAAACCATAATAATGATAATTATTTTTATGATACTAAAATTAATTGATAGTGACACATGTTATTAAAAATGGTCGTGTAATATAGTATAGGTACTATCTAGAACTTTTGAGTACACCACATTTAGCAGATTAAAATGTATGTACCGTTAACGAGTGGTCTCGACTGTTTCGAGTGTCAACCATGAGAGCCGTGGCAGGTAGTCAAATAATATTGTCTTGATCCTGTCACCTGATGTTTTATCATTTGAAATTGAAAGCCTACAGATATTAAATAAGATAATAATAGTTAATTATATTGTATTACACAGCTTAAAACGTACTGTTGACTAGCTATTTGACATTGGTTTTTATCATAAGACTGCTGCAGCTGCATAGCAGCAATAATAATATGATTACGAACATTRCGGAAATTGCATGGCTTATCAAAATTCCATAATAAAATATAACAATAACAACAGGTTATCGCGATTTCATTAAGTGTTATTATTGTTTCAATAATGGGTGTGAAAATTGCGTTTTGAAAAAATTGAATCAAAAAAATTAAAAAAAAACAATCCATAAAACGATGACACCAAGGACGCTCGGCGTCAATTGGATATACAAAGTACGTAGGTAAAAAGAAAAAAATCGGTTTGGCTAAAAAAAAAAAATCGTGTTTACAATTAATTGTGCAAGACGCAAGTCATTCGTGTACGACCGAGTAAGTTATAATAACAGTGTTAGTGCAGTACCGAATATCGCACAATATCGTGTGCACATACATATTATTATAATGACTGTATGAAATCGTCGAGCGTAAACCATCAATAGCTTCTTAAACGGTTTTTTTTTGAAAAATAAAAATACGATCGTGAGGATCGACGCCTTCGATATAACAATATAATACAGCGCCTACGCGAGGTGGGTCTTCATCTCCGAATGTCAAGGAGGTACTGTCGTATATAATATGTACTGCATGGTTACGTGATAAATGATAATACAAACCATCGTATTATTGTTACGTTGTCGTTAATTACGCCGCGGGACCACCAAACATTATTATTTTATGAACTTTTTTTCAGATTTAGTCGAAAATTCTCTATTTTTTCAATCATATTATATAATATCTAGTTAATAATATGACTATATTTTTATTCCGTAGAAGGACGTTTTATTTTGTTTTATTTTTTTTTCATCTCGTTTTCCTCTTACTCTGCAGCATGTACATTGTACAATACATAAAAATATTATTGACTTTTGATTTTCAAATAGTTCATAGTTTTGGGTTTCAATGAGAAGTGGATTCCCGTAGTGTCCGTCCTTCGTAAGCCATCGTTGCCGTGGTTACCATTGTTGATTTTATGAAAATATTAATTTACCATATTTYTGGCTTTGAGGTATATATTATATTATTGCTGCTGGTGTCGTTCTTTACATTATTTTTAATAATAAATTAATTAAATCATTGTTCTGCTATCACTCTATTATTTCATAATATATCGGATGCACTCTGTCATGACTTGTTAATTATTGGTTTTAATTCATATAAAATGTATAAAGAAACTGGAAGATATATCTCAAACTATTTATTTTATTTGCAAGAGAGAGGTTAACTTTTAATTAAAGAAATAAAAATAAATCGAATTGCCTGTCTACCCGATTTACATATAACAAAATAATAATTTCTGGAAACATCGACCTACATAAATGTAACAATAAACCAATTATTTATTAATGTATATTTTTACATTTTTCTATATTCATTTCTGTTTATTAAATTAAAAATAATATAGATACATTTTATAGGTACGCTTAAGTTGAATAGGTGTACACAATTGCTGTCTCTCAGTTACTAACCGTATTAGATAATATTATTTATTTATTTAACTAATTTAACAAATTCGTATGTTTGTTTTAGATTAAACTTTGAGAGTTAAGTTAGGTCAAGTGTTAACTTTTTAGTTTTATACCTTTTTCAAAACAATTATTTGAATTTAATACATTTCTTATTGAAAAATAATATTTTTCGAAAAATTTTGTCTGCTAATAGTATTAATAAAATAACTATTCATAAATTGTATTAACTATTGTTTATATGAGCTATGTGATTACAATTTATAGGCGATAAAGAACAAAAACAAAAACCGGTGACCGAGTGATGTTTCTTAACACAATATACTCGATCAAACTGCCTCGTTATTTGTATTAAAAAATACTTATTATATTCTAATATTATAATATGTCCCCCGGTGGAGAGCAAGACTGTTTGACAGCTAGACGCTGGTATAGGTACAAAAATATCTCACATTACCTATATAAAAATAATAATAATATTATGTCGTATAAAGAATTTCCGATTTTGTATACCGGTCCACTGTTGGCAGCGCAAAATTCCGCACTATATCGGAACCGGTTACTAAAGATGATATTATTATTATTATCATCATTATCATCATAATCACCATATTTGTCATATTAAAGCGGAAAAATGTTAACGGGCCCATATAATATTATACTGTACACTTGTACAGTGTAGAGGTACACGCGTGGTGTACTATGACTCTCATCCATCGGGGTCAACCGCGGTTTGACCTTAAATGGATCGGACGCGCACCCGCCACCGCCGCCCACAAAAACTGCGTTTGCGTATTTTCATGATCTCAGCAATCAGCGATGAGTGGGTATCATCAGTTGACTATTTTTGTCTTTTTTGAGCAGACATAATATGGTATTTAAATTTTTTCGCTACTTGTGTAGAGAAAAATTGCTGCAAATGTGCGTTTCGTTTCGATGAAAAAAGTCTGCTCAGCTGATAATATCCATCATCGCGTACGTATATTTCAATTCATTTTTTAGACGTTTGATTGAAAAATTAAAACCTTTAAAAGTCAATAAGTCATACACTGCTTTTAAATTTCTAAAGTGTAGTAAATAATACACTGTAATTAACATAAGTTTCTACTAAAATAACAATACAAAAAAGCATCTATTTTTTATGGATACCTATATACTGGTATGAGTAGCGAGATGACAAACGTTTTCAAAATTGAATGTGAGAGGGAGAATTTTCATAATTTAAAATCTAAGTGATGAAACCCTTCAGGTGTTGGTTTTATAATGATCATGTGTATTTATAATAACTTTACGTCACACAGAAAATATTGTGTTTTTTATTTTCACATATAGCTGTAACACTTATGTACGTTTATCGTTTATTCGTTAAACAAACGCCATGTGCTGACAGAAAAGAAGAAACTTGGTTGCAGCTTTATTCTACATTTTTGCTGTCTTATATACTCCTAAATAACACAATTATTTTCTCGTTTTGAATTCGAACGATTTTCAGATGAACAATTATGATTTAAAATAATAACCATCGGTTAATCTCATTTTCTTCAACAATTCCATAGTTTTCGCATATGACAGTCGAGTTTAATTTTCCAAATGWAGAAGTAAAATCTTTACTGTAACGAATATTGTATTACCAACGGTCTCTAAACATGAAATTGTATTTCAAAACTTTTTACACAGAGAGTAATTTATTTATCAGTAGTTGCCGGGTTTCATTCGACATTGTTATGATGATGAGGTGACACAGAAGAYTTATCGCTTTCAAACTCGAAATAACAACTCTCGGATGGCTCGTCGTGTATCCAAAATGATGTCGAACTCTTCGGCAAAGTTTTTGTGTGCGAAATGGAATTCATTGATGTAATGTACTACTTAGTATTTTTGAACTGAAGTTTAAAA